CGTTAGCTAGGGAGACTTTAAAAGGGTGCTTTTTTATTTAGTAAGGTATTTTGTAATATTTAATACATTTAGAGTTAATTGCTAAGAAGGTGCATCTGCTGTTAATTAATGTAAGGCCTTTACATGTTATTCTGTTAAGAAGATTAATTATGTAGTTAGCTATTAAGCTTTTGCCTAACTCTTATTTTACTACTACTAAAACTTTTATGTTGTAATAGACTTTATTATAGTTTATGCTAAAGTTATCTTTTTTAACGCTTAGAAGGCTGTGTATTTGTTTATCTACTTTATTAGCTCTAATTTTAAATTGCTAGTAATCTTTTATTATGCAGTTATTTACTAGGCAATTAATACTTTCTACCTTATAGTAGTGTAGGAGCTAATTATTCTGTTAGTAGGCTTTCTACTAGAAATAGTAGAAGGCGTAGTTAGAGGCCTTTTTACATTTAGTCTAAAGTTTCTTTTTATAAGGTAGGCCTGTGCTGCAGTGCTAACAGTTTAGCATTTTGCAGGTTATAGCTAACCTTATTAGGGTGTTAGTAGAGCTTTTACTTTCTTATGCACTTATTAGCTACTAGCTAGCTTAGTGCTTAGTTAGCTAGTGTTAAAAATAGTACTTATTAGTGCAAAGGTACTATACATATAGGCATTATTTAAGATTAGTGCAGATAGGAATAGGTTGTACTTAGGCCTATCTAGGGTATTCTTTTGTTTAGATTATCTGCAAGGGGTAGTCTTTATATTTGCAATAGTAGGCATTATGCCTTTTGCTTTTATAGGGAATGTAATATCTATAAATTTATTATAGCTCTAGCTTTTTTCTTATTACTGCTAACACTAAAGGTAGTGTATCTAGTTGTTCCTCTAATAAAGCTAGGGTTTATAGAGGCGTTAAGTGCTAGTTAGTGTAACAGCGCAGGCAAGACAATGGGTCCGAATGCGGTATGAATCCACTCAGAGGCATATGGGAGTGCGTGGGGACTCAGAGACCTGGGAATACCAATGACACCTATAGGCCTTGTACGTAGGATATCAGAAAACTACCGAGCTAGCTACGGGGGCAAGGTGCGACTAAATACATGAGGGAATAGGGGTAACAGCAGGGGTCGGGGCCAGGTCGAGGTCGGGGCCGATACGAGGGCCTTCCGGAGGTTCCGGGCGACTCGAGATGGAACGATTCATGAGGATCGTTACAGTTAGGGCTCTTTTTTTTTGCTAAGATTTTTCTAAAGAATCTTTATTACTCTTCTTTATTTAAGATGTTATAGTAGACTATTATAATTTTTCTTATAACTTTATAAGTGTTATAGTTATTATTAAAGGTTACTTTATAAAGTCTTATTTTACAGAGGTTATAGTTATAGAGTTTTTTACACTTTTAGTAGTTTCTTTAGTTAAAATGTTACTTAAGTTCTTATAGCAGGATTTCTAATCTGCTTTGTTTAAAAGGGTATTACTTCTCTCTTGTTTTTATGTTTTTAACATAGTTAGCTACTTGCGCTAGGTGTTGCTATCCTTTAAGGACTGCAGCTTATTTAATAGCTCTAGAGATGCTGTCTTTATTCTAGACCTTTACCTCTTAATAGTCTACTAGATAATTAAAGGATTTATAGTTGTCTTTACATCTCTAGTAAAGTTGTTTACTAAGCCTATTATATATTTCTTTAGGTGTTAGGCCTTTATTAATATATATAGCTTTTATAGTTAACTTACTATTTTTATTCTTTAGTTATTTAGAGTCTAGGCATTTCTAATAAAAGTAACTTATTTTTTTATAGTTAAAGTATGCCTTTTTTTTAAGCTATTTTTTTATTTTTTATTTAAAGGTAGCTTTACACTTTTAAAGGTACTACTTTTTTTTTTAAAAAAGCTATGCATATGCTTAGTGTAACTAAGGTTTATTAGTTTGCTGTTAGACTATAGAGTTTTCTTTTTTTTTAAAACTAGTTAGGTTTTAAAGTTGTCTAGCCTTTTTTTTTTTTACTATATTATTTAGCATGTCTTTTATTATAAGTAAGTGCCTTTTTAATATAATTCTTAAAGCTTTTAAGCTTTTTTATATAAGTAAATTTGTCTTTAATTATGTCTAAAAGCTTTTTATAGAATATTTATTTTATAGCTTTTTTATCTATCTATCTGCAGATAGCTAGCAGCTCTTTAAAGTAGGCTGCATATTATTAGACAGAGCTGTTGCTCTGCTAGAGAGTGTTTATTTTATTAACTACTTATTTTTCTTTGTTAACTAGCCTATAGATTATAGTTAGGGCTGCTTTAAATAAGTTAAGATTATTAAAGATTTTTTATATTTTTAGTAGTAAGAGTTTACTATTTACTTTATAGTTTATTTAGTTATTAGTGTAAAGTTAGAACTAAATAGCAGGTAATCTTTTTAAGTAAAGGCTTATTTATAAAATTATTTCTTTATCTGTTTTAAAGGCACCTTTGTTATATTATATATAAAGGTAGCATTTAGTAAAGAAAGGTTTTAGGTCTTTAGTAGAGCTATTAAATGCCTTAAAGAGGGCTAGGCGTAGGGTCTTTTTAGACTTAATACTAGTTTTTTTCTAAGTAATGTTTTTAAGGTTAGCTACTTCTAGCTAAAGGGCTTAAAACTAGTAGATGTTTAAAGGTCCTTATTATACTTATAGCTAGAGGTGCTGTTTAAGCTATTTAAGCTTATTTTAAAGATAAAGTATCTACTAATTCTATGCTTTCTTAGTTACTATAGAGGTCTAGCTAGTGCTAGCAGCTAAAGCGCCTGTTATGCTAATGTCTAAGGTAGTAGTAGCTATACTTTGCAGGTAGTAGTAATTACTGTTATAATTCTTACTCTAGTAAAATAGTATTTTTAGGAGTATAACAGCCTATAAGAATGTTAGCAAGAAGAGGATAAAACTTAGCTAGATTAGGTGTACAGTCTATTAAGCAGAGTGTAGGATAAGTGTAGTAAAAAAGGCAGGTTGTAGTTTAACCTAGCAGCTGTATAGGGAGCTAGCAAACCTAATCTATAAGAATAGGAATAGAGGTATATATAGTGTAAAATATATAAGGCAGTAATGTCTTTTTTATAAAAGTTTTAATGCCTTTTAGTCTATTAAGTAAGTAAAGACTAAATAGTAATTATAACTTTCTAACTATAGTTGTAATTAAGACTATATACATAGGGTTTACATGCCTTGCATGCTTGCATGTTTGCATGCTCACTTAGCCTGCATAACCTGCAAGCCTGCAAACCTGCAAGGCTTATTAGATGATGCATTCCGCTAGGCTTTTGTCTAAAAGCCGGAGCCATTCCTCATCTGTCCTGTCACGTGATTCGCTCAGCGCGGGGCTAAGCGTCTTCCATCCGACGTTGTTCGGGCTGTGTGGGACAGCCAGTTGGGTTATTACGGTCTGACTGTTGGCTGTAACAATACATAACTAAATTACCTAATGTACTTTATAGGCAAGTTGCTTACACACCTAAGTTGCTTCCTTTTACTAAGACTTTACTAAACTAGTTTTTCTATACTAATGCATTTTTAATATCACTACTTAAATACACTAAAAGAACATTAAATATAGCTTACACTTTAGGCTTTTAAATAAGACATAACACATTTAAAGTAACATACTATAGCTATGTATAAAGTCTTTTAAAAAATAATAAATAACTAATACACTAGATAACTTTTATAAGCTAATTTTATAGCTAACTTATAAAAGCTAAATAATAATAAAAAGTAAGTAATTATTAAGCATATACTTAAGCTAAATATATAAAAAACATTCTTTTAGCTAGTAGCTATAGCTAATATAGCTAATTTCTTACACACTAAGTGTAATCTAAGCTATATTAGCATAAACTAGCTTCTTATGTTTATTAAGTGTTATCTAAAGCTTAAAGTAAAGTTTAAGCATAAGTACAACTATAAAAAAGCTTTTTATAAGAATTTTAGAGTAATTTAAAACTAGTTTAGCTTTATAAAGAATATTAAAGCTAAGTATAGTATCTAAAATAATAATATATATAACTTAAAGAAAAATAAGCTTTATAATAAGCTAGATATTTACTAACTATACTTACTTACTTTTTATTATTATTTAGCTTTTATAAGTTAGCTATAAAATTAGCTTATAAAGGTTATTTAGTGTGTTAGTTATTTATAATTATTTAACAAACTTTATACATAGCTATTAAATAAAAAGAAGAATGTTTTAAACTAATTAGCTAGTAGTAGTAATAGTAGTAGTAAAGAACTGTTTTTAATTATTATAAGATAACTAGCTTATCTTAGTAAGCTGTTATTAATTCTCTAATTAGAAAGAAGCGATAGTGTTAAAATTAAATAATAATAGATTTTTTAGGCTTTTCTAGACCTTTAGATAAGTAGTTAGGGGGTTAGAGAAAGGCTTGCAGTACTAATTTAGGTGGGGGGTTTTCAAGTCCACTAAGCTCATAGGCGAGTGCTTAGGCTATGGGACAGACTTTTTGGAATGATTGTAAGGCATTACGCAACGTTACTGCGTAGACAGTTCACGTTTGTGAGGCCCACTCACTTAAGTACGCTAACTGAAAAAAAAACCTAAAAAATGGTCCCACATCTATCCTGTTAATTTGTTGTTTTAAATTGTATATTCTTGAGAGTATATTAGTTACTGTAAAATTAGGAACGGTTTCAGGAAACACGCTAATTGTCACGATTAGGCTTGACCTTGGCCGCTTGCGGCTATAACGAACCAGAATGGACAAAGAACGATCAGCCGGATGCAGTGAGGAATAGACGAATGCAGAGAGGCATGGACGAATGCAGCAAAGCACAGAACAAAGAAGTAGTGTGTATATAAGCAGTAACAAATCTCTGCCTTAGAGGGCAGTGATTCGTCTAAGTCTTTGACCAAACTTGTTCAGGTCATGAATCAACTACTTTGGATAAGAGCAGTTCACCCTGTCTTTAGTGTATTGCACACCTTTATTTTTAACACTAATGCAAGTTAATGGATTAATTAAGTGAATACCTCAGGAGCGTAGTAAGAACTCTATCCGGTTATACTAATGACAATCTTACGGCTCCTTGCTTATGCAAGTTGTATCCCATGTTTCAATCTTAGTTCCTCTCTTATCTCTTTTTGTGCTTTTTGGATATGTTTTGCTTTACCGTCTCTTATATTAAACAAAGCTGCACTTGAACTGAACACCATCGAACCTGCCAAACCAAACCCCGCAGCAGCGGTCGACCCGAAATCCACTGGGGCAGTTACTAAACCCACACCTATGAGAGTCGCTCCTGTAGCGATGCCGAGAATAGAGATGTCTCGAGTTATACCCGCGTTTTTAACCCATTTGTCAAAGAAGTGCGGGAGTTTGGCTTTTGCGTCTGGGTCTCCGATCAGCTCGACGAGCAGACGGACGAAAGCCTGGCAGTTGTTCTCGTCGTATACATATTTCTCTTTTAAAGTCTTTTTCCATACATGAGAAGCTGTTTAGCCATGTCAATTAGACAAAGAAAAAGTAAGGGGAAATGCCACTGGCCAAGGTCATCTTTACTCACCCAAAATGTCGATCACCTCCGGCGTATATGGCCTGATCATATAGCCCACATGTTTTGGCTCCTCCCGATCCTTGTACTGCCTCGTTTCTCTCCACTCCTGCTCGGATATTGATTTATAGAGAAACTTCGGTTCTCCTTTCTTCTTGTCTCCCCCCCTCAACTCGTAGCAGATGCCTTGAATGCATACTGCCCAGTGGGCGAATATGTCGATAGGTTTTTTGCGACTACCATTCACGAAGTCGCCCCGAAGCGGTGTGGTGTAGAGGTAGATCGCCTGGGAAGAGTCCTTGCTGAAGGCGCTTAAAGGCCGGTAAGCCATGGTAATTCTTTTCTTGTTTTCTCTAGGTGGCGGCGGAAAATTTTTCTGCGTTTCTGGTCGGTGCTGTTGGTTTATGTGTTGATATTTTATATCTCCAGGCTGGAGATTTTTAGAATCCTTATACTTGTTAGCACGCGGTATCTGCGCAACACCCTAGTCATATTTTCGTGAGAAAGAATGCGCCCCAAGAAGTGGCGCAGTTCTGATATCATGCATAAACATCTGCACCGCTTACGCAGGTTTTCACTGCCGAGTGGTCAGCAGGGGGGTCTTAGCATGGGTGGAATGTGACGCTTTGTGATCAAAGTTCCAGTTTCAAAAATGGGTGAGTTTCCAAGCTTCTATCTTAAGATAGATCTACACAGGAACCCTGCGGTTCACTCGGATGTGAGAGGGAAGGCCAATCATCGAGTAGCACAATATAAGCAGCACACTCGGGCCAGTAGATCCTACCGGGGGGCCACGCATGCGGCAGAGGCATCGTAGCCGTAGGAACGAATCATGGCGCAAGTTCGTAAGCCGCATGCAGAAGATGAGGCTGCAACGCGAACGCGTTGCGGCCGTAAGGTATCGCCCGGCTTAGCTTACCTACGACTTGGTACTCATTAATGGTGTAATATGGGCCGCAACCTACAGGTTGCTTAACTCCGAGATGACTAATTTTCCATCACTAGCCGTATTTATTCTTTTAGTACATTCAACTATTTTACACAATCTGCCTGAAGTCCCTCATTATGAAGAATGCAAAAATTAAAGGCCTCCTGCAGGTCTTTGCTCGTATTCTTCAGAGCCTCCTGACCGCCAGCTATCTCGGAGCCTACAGGTACTACACTCTCGAACCAATCGAAAAAATCGAACATTACCAAGAAGAGATATTAAGGGGAAAGCTAATCAAAGCATTGGCTGACTTTCGTCACATCAAGGACGAAGAGTTATCATTCGTGGCGAAAGCAGTAGGTCAAGATCTTCAGTATCCGTCGATACTCAAGCTATAGAAAACTCTCTTACACAGCTCGTACAGGCTGCCTTATCTGCAGCAGCGGTCATCGGTGTCTTTTCGTGGCCTACCACGGAGAAGACAGTGTGGGCCGCTAAAATGCTCTGGAACTGGAGTTTTTTTATGTCTACCTTCTCGCTCGTCGGTTCGGCTCCCACACGGTTACTCCGGCACCTGCCAGATGAAGACGGCACGGAATACAATGAGCACAAAATTCAGATGGCCCTGAATTTGTTTTTGCAGTCTCAAGCTCAGCGCCCTAGTTCAAGTGGTAAAATGGAACGTCGTCAAATAAGTAGGAGAATGCTCTGGGTTTGGCAGTGTCCGGCCATGCTCATGAGCTATTCCTGGGTCTTCTGTAAGCAAGAAGGGGGTACAAATTCTGGATAAGCTAAATACACATGTTCGAGGTGTTCGGACAGACTTAGTTGATCAGGCTTGCTACCTTCCCCCCTAACTTCCTTTCTACCTCTTCCTAGAAGGACTTTTGCTGATCTCGTACCCCCGCCTTATAGTTCTTGTCGGATATGCGCTGCACGTGTTGTCTCCAGTCTTTGATCCGTCGCAAGCCAAGGTTTCGTCGCAGGTTGGTTCAGGCACATTTGAACTCATTTGTCTCTTCACTCATTTGATCTTAGATTGCTATTGTTACTATTTGCGGCTGCGCGTTGCTCTTCCTCAATTTTGCCTTCTGTGCTGGAATGTGCCAATATCGTCTTCAGGAAGGGACGCTATTTGAATGGATTATTGATTTATTGAGCGGTAACAAGGATACAGATACTAAGATGGAAGACCGAACCTAGCTGCTATTATCAATACTATTAAAGACAGCATGACTGGTTTGTATTTAACTAGTTTAACAAGGGAATAAATTAATGCTCATTCGTAAGTATTTGTTACAGCCCAAGCCGCTAACTTTTAGTTAAACAAGGCTAATGTAGTTTATAGTTATAATCTTACATAGACAACATTTTATAGCTTATAGAGGTTAAGGACTTATAAATCTCTTATCTTCTTCGACAGTAGCACTGTTGGCACCAGCGGCCTACTCGCCGTCCCGCACCCAGTTGCATGTACTACTAACGTCCCTCCCTGCGTGGCGAGACACCCTGTGTTCTAAGACAAACAAGGGCTACTTTAACTTTTAGCACCTACAAAATCTATGCACACAACAAATATTACTATAGTTCTATAAAAATAATCTGTTGCGCTTAATTTTAAATGTCTATAATCTACTAACGTACACTACAGGCAAGTTACTTACACACCTAAGTTACTTACTTTTACTAAGACTCTACTAAACTACTCTTTCTACACTAATACATTCCTAACAACACTACTTAGATATACTAAAAGAATATTAGATATAGCTTACACTTTAGGCTTTTAAATAAAATAAAACACTTTTAAAGCAATATGCTATAGCTATATATAAAGTTTTTTAAAAAATAATAAATAACTAACACACTAGATAACCTTTACAAGCTAATTCTATAGCTAACTTATAAAGGCTAGATAATAATAAGAAGTAGGTAATTATTAAGCACATACTTAAGCTATATGCGTAAGAATTTTCCTCTTAGCTAGTAACTATAGCTAATATTGTAACAATTCTTAGGAATTGTTTTATCTTAGGTGGCCTAGAACCTATCTAAAGGGTCCTTGTATTAGCTCTAACGCTAACTTAGCCCTGCCCTCTACTGTTACCTCTATTCCCCTAAGTATTTAGTTGCACCTCTCTTTTATAGCTAGCTTAGTAGTTTTCTAATATTCTTTTATACAAGGCTTATAGGTATTAATAATATTCCTAAGTCCCTACGCACTTCTATATGCCTTTAAGTAGATTTATACTGTATTTAGGCCTATTGTCTTGCCTGTGCTGTTACATTATATTAGAAAACTTACTTTTTGCTAGTAATAGCCTTATTAGAATATTACATTATTTATTTATTTAACTATGTCTAAGCCTAAAACATGTCTAATTTAGTTTAGGTTATAATACTTACACTCTATTACATTAAACTATTTAGTTATATAGATAGAATACTAGAAACCTTTTATTAACTAAAGCCTTTAGGTTTAGAACTTTCTATCTCTTATAATTAAGATTACCTTTAGAAAAGTTGCGTAGAGTACGCTAAGGTAGAAACTTAGAGACTACTAATAACCTATTAGAATTAGAGACAACTACTAATGCCTAACTCTTAACTACCTACCTCTTAACAGCTAAACTCTCTTTTGTAGAACCTAAAGCTAGACCTACCTAATTTAGAGTTAAGCTATAGCAACATGTTCTAATAGACCTTAATTAATGTAACGATTCTCGTTCCATCTCGGGTCGCCCGGAACCCATCCGAAGGGTCCCCGTATCGGCTCCGACCCTGGCTCGACCCTGACTCGACCTGGCCCCGACTCTGCCTTGCCCCCTGCTGTTACCCCTATTCCCTCATGTATTTAGTCGCACCTCGCCCCCGTAGCTAGCTCGGTAGTTTTCTGATATCCTACGTACAAGGCCTATAGGTGTCAATGGCATTCCCAGGTTCAGAGTCCCCACGCACTCCCATATGCCTCTGAGTGGATTCATACCGCATTCGGACCCATTGTCTTGCCTGCGCCGTTACAATTAACTACTAAATTACCTCTAATAATACGTTAATGTTACTTTACTAAACGCACGCCTAAGATTAATAACTACACAGATAGCAAAGAACTAATAGCAAGCTTTAATTACTAATAGACTAGACATTAATATAGATTACTATTAGAGGAGGCGTGCACGCATAGCGTTTAGTTTAGAGGACACTGCTAGTAGTGTGAAGGAATACTTAGAGCAAAGACATCTAGCTAAATTAGACTAGTTTTAGTTTAAAAAGGCAGAGGACATAACAGTAATACTTCCTACTCTAATTACTGCTAATAAAGACTATTGGTCTACAGAAGAGGTGGTAGTGTAACAATTCTTAGGAATTGTTCTATCTTAGGTAGCCTAGAACCTATTTAAAGGTCCCTGTATCAGCTCTAACCTTAAATTAGCCCTGCCCCCTGCTATTACCTCTATTTCCCTAAGTATTTAGTTGCACCTCTCCTCTGTAGCTAGCTTAGTAGTTTCCTTATATCCTTTTGTACAAGGCCTATAGGTGTTAATAATATTCCTAGGTTATTAAGTCCCTATGCACTCTTATATGCCTTTGAGTAGATTCATACCGCATTCAGACCTATTGTCTTGCCTGCGCTGTTACAAATATAACTAATTCTCTACGCGCTAAGTATTACCTAGGCTATATTAGCATAAACTAGCCTAGTATGTTTATAAAGTGTTATCTACAGCTTAAAGCAAAGTTTTAAGTGTAAGTATAGTTAGTAGATATCTAGCCTATTATAAAGCTAATTTATTGAAGTTATACATGTTATTATTTTAAATACTATACTTAGCTTTAAATTACTTTAAAATTCTTATAAAAAGCTTTTTTATAGTTATAGTTATACTTAAACTTTACTTTAAGCTTTAGATAATACTTTATAAACATACTAAGCTAGTTTATGCTAACATAGCCTAGATTATACTTAGCATGTAAAAAATTAGCTATATTAGCTATAGTTACTAACGTACTTCATGGGCGAGTCGCTCACACACCCGAGTCGCTTACTTTTGCCAAGACCCCACCCTAACAAACTCTATTATGGCCCATAACAACCCGCTCTAGCACTATATAGTACAGTATAGCCTAGAATATTATTTAGATACTACTTCTGCTTCTTGCTTACACATTTACGTGTTATGCCTAGTCTAATTGCACTGTCTGTAGCGCCTTTAAAATAGCTTACTTACTTTAGCTTACACCTACTTTTTTACCTTCTTTTTATTACTGCGCGCTCTAAACTCTTTTAGAGCTGTTAAGCATAGGCTTTTCTAAATTATTAAGGTCTTTTCTGCCTTAATTTACTTTTTTTTATGTAATTTATGTTATGTAGCAGCCTTATTAGCTGCTTAAAGCTTAGTAATTTTCTATTACACTAACACTAGCTTATGCATAATTATTGCTGCCCCTTTTAAGACCTTTTTAAACACCTTAACTATAAAAGTTAGTAAACTATTTATATGCTTTTAAATTCTTATTTTTATAAGCATTAATTACAACCTAAGTTTTAAAGTATTACTTAGGGTTTACAACTGCTAAAGCTTGTTATATATAGGTAGTAGTAGTAATAGAGTGCGCAACTTTACATTAAGGCTTATTATAACTTATTATAGGTTAAAAGGAACTAATCTAGCACCTTAAAACCTTCTTTAAATATTACTAAAAGTAATTATAGCATTATAGGCTACTTTAAAGCATAGTAGGAACTTTATTTTTATAATATAAGTAATCTAGTTACGCATAAAGTTTTTAGCTTAGTATTGTAAAAAACAGGGTATACACTTCGCAATTAAGAGGTGTATTGACTAACAAGGGCGTGACTGTGACATAGGAGTACAATTAGTACCCGCCTAATTCCTAAGGCAATCCTCTGCTATCTAAAGAGGGCTTCTACAACTGGCTATATACTTCTCTAGAGAGCCAGGCACAGCAGCGCTGGTAGCGACAGATCTAGTATGCTGTAGGTCTAGTTTAAAGTATTACCTGTCTAGGATGCCTAGCTTTTTAGGTAAGGTAGGCATTATCTAGGAAGTGCAGAGTTAATAGCACAGTTTAGAAGTTGTCTAGGACTGCCTAGTGTAGTCTAGGCTAGTTTACAACAGCCTAGGAAACACCTAGATAGCTAGTTATTATAAAGCCTTATCTTTTTTTAAGGCATAACTTTATGCTTAAATCTAAGCTTTTTTTTAAGGTTTAGAAGTTATGTAATTTTATGTTACTTTAAATTTAATTTAAGAGGTTAAATACTTTTTGCTAAGCTAAATTTTTTATTACACCTACACTTTACTCTACACTTTTAGTACGTATTTTAGAGAGATTTTCTGCAGGAGCCCTTAGGCCTTCCTAGGGGTTCCTAGGGTGTTCTAGGGCCCCCCTAGGCTAGAGGACCCTATATAAAGCTCTATCTATTCTAGAGAGTTCTTATTCTAACTACTTTTAGATTCTTCCTTAGCTAGCCACCTTAGCTAGCTATCCCCTGTCTTATTTTTAAGGCCTCTAGTCTTGTCTATTTTAATCTAGGCCTTTCTAGGCCCTCTAAGCCTTGTCTTATATATTTTACTACTAATAATGTTTTTTCTAGCTAGTAAGCAGTTAGACAGAATTGCTTTAGCTATAAATAAGGCCTTAGCTACTATTAATCTTTACTTAACTTACCTTAATAAGATTATAAGCAGGATTATAGTATATAAGCTAAGTGTAATTTTACTATGCTGTTTCTTTATTAAGGAGGATTACAACATTTAAACTTATAATACTTACATTTATTAAAGCTTATTAGAGCCTAAGCGCACTAATAACCTTTTAAAGTATAATAGCTACTATAAGGGTAGTAGAGACTACTATTAAGTAGGTTATTCTAGAGCTATTTATAGCTGTCTAAGGGTCTCTAAGGTGCTTCTTAGTTCTTTTTACTAATTTTTAGGTTATAGTGCCTAGAGGACTATTACCTA